TAAATTAATTTATCTATGCTTAATGAGGACAGCTGAAGTAGCCTGTCTTTTTAATGACCATTTTAATAAATGTTAAACCAATAAATATAAATATTATTTATTTATAACAAAAAGATTGAAAAAGAACTCATATTTACATATTGAGGCAAAAGCTTTTATCTCATATGATAATAACAAAATAGAAATAAAAAAAAACTCAATAACATTATGATATGTTACATATAAGTGTATAAAATTACCTTTTATTATTGGCACATCATTTTAAATGGATTTGATTGGATGTGACTCTCGATGTATTAAAAGTTTTTGTAATCAAATTTAGAACCCTCCAAATTTCGATTTCATTAAACTAATAGTCAAATTGAACGGCTCAACAAGATGATCTATCAACACCAAAAGTGATATGATCCAACACGAATTAAGTTGAAACAAGCACTTGAAGTGAAATTAAAAACTTCAGCATATTAATTGCATAACCAAATAATTTTCAATTCTTTTAAGCGTATAATCAAATCATCACCTCGATGAGATGAAGCTAACGAGCCCAAAATTTTCTAATTTCAATATAACTAAGATGTTTAAATGTTGAAAGAATATCTATGATCAAGAAAATTAATATGGGCCGTCTAATGAAGTGTTTTAGATTTTGACTATATTTGTGAGACATGTCAATCTAAAAAAATCTATAAATATGCATTCGCTCTTTATATAAAGCGGGGCATAAGACCCTGCGCTAGAGATTCAAGTGAGCTTTGAGGCTTGAAAATTTTTAGTTTTACTAAACCCTTCGATAAATCAATGCATCAAATGTTCGCCTTTTGACCACTAACTAAGGTCCTCCAATCACCACAACCACATTTTGGTCCTCTAACCACCATTGCCAACTAACGATGCTCCAACTGCCATTACCTGATACCAATCCACAAATCATTGTTGTCCAACTATGACTCTCTGACCACCATCACCCTCTATTGACCATCATCATCATCCGACTATGATCTTTTGACCACCATCGCTCGACTTTTGTCCCCCATCATGATTGACAAACTACAATTTTTCATCATTCGACTATAACCTCCAACCACTATATCTAAACTACAATCCTTCGAGCATTATCCCCCGACAAAGATCATCTAAGCATCATTGTCTGACTTAGGATCTTCGACCACTTTCGCTTCATTTTGATATTTCAATCATCATTGCCTGATTATGATCTACCAAACACTATTGTTTGATTATGATCCTTCAGCCATTGTCACCCGACTATAGTCCTCTTACCACCTTCTTCTAAATATTATTCAAACATCATTGTTTGACTAATATTACTCAATCATCTTTGCCAAATTATAATCATTTGATAATTATCACTCAACCATAGTCATCTGACCACTATCTTTCAATTACGATCATTTGAACACTGTTGCCCAACTACAATCATTGCTTGATATGGGTTCTTCAACCATCGTTTCTCATATACGGTCCCTCGATAATCATCACCCTACTTAAGTCCTCGAGTAATTTTATAACCACCATTGTCTGGCTTTGGTCCTCTTATCACATTACCCAAGTATAATCTTTTGACCATTTTCATTTGATGATGGTCTTTTGATTGTTGCTTGATCATGATTTCCCAATTGTCATCATCTGACTTTAATCTCCCAACTATTGCCGCTTCATTATCATCCTTAAACCATCATCACTTAGTCTCCCAACCATTACCACCAAACTTCAATCTTCTAACCTTTTTTACCTGATTATGGTCCTCAAAATATCATCTCTTGACTAAGATCCCCTAACCACCATCGCCTAACTATGACCCCCTCATTATTTTTTTGACTATTAACCTCCTGTGATCTCCCAATTATCACCACTTGACATCCATCCCATGAACAACAACACCCAATTACAATCATCTTACTAGTGTTTGCTAACTACAATCCTCTAAACGTTATCAATTGATTAAAACCTCCTTAGAACTATTACTCAAAACCTTAAACCCTAGTCTCCTATGGCCTCTTGGCAAATGTTGCTTGACTTTAACCCTCTTCTCCTAAAACCCATCATCACTAATAACATTGATGCATGTTGTTGCCTACAAGGTTAATGCATTCCATTGAATTTAACTATAACTCTTGACATTAAAATTGAGATTTATGATGAATTTTTTATCTCTAGTCTCTCTTCCATAAAGGCGAACAACCAAACAAATAACAAATGATTTCTTAAAGACAATTCACATTATATAAGCCTCTTTGAACTTACACCTTGGAGTTCATTCAACTTCTACCACATAATTTATATTTACTATATATATTAATATATTATATCAACACATTCCCCAATCATAAAGAAGGGCATTATTTGTAGTTGATGATAAACAATACTAGGATTACTTCCACTGGGCAATGCCTCATAGTTTTTCCTTTTCTCTGGCTTTCCAAATAAAAAAATCTAATATTCCTTGACCCACTCTTTTATCTATATGTGTTGGATCTCTGTATGATGCTAAGATGTTAAAGACTTTTTCTAACTTCATGAATATTCTGGCTTGTAACAACTATAAATGTTTGTTATGATTGTTTATACATTACCCTAAATTCATCCCATCAAATATAAATCTTGATGCAATCTTTGAATGAAAAAAATTTGAAATTAAATTCAGGATTATCCAAACTCTAATTTTAGCAAACTTATATTCAAAGAAATTTTTTTGATGAGATAAACCCAATGACACTAAATTTTTTTTACTCCAAATGAGCCAAAGTTTGTGCACTTAGAGAGAGAGAGAGAGAGAGAGAGAGAGAGAGAGAGAGAGAGAGAAGTTCAATGTCATATTTAACAATTAATGCTGATGATCATTATTAACATTTGCGATCACTTGAACATCTTTACCTGATTAGCATTGCTTGATCCCCTTTGCCTGACTGTCATAACCATATTGTCATTGCTTAATCAAGTTGTTCAATCAAGATCACCTAACAACTGACGTAACCAACTATGGTCATGCAACTGCCATTATCTTATTACAAACTTTGACCTGCTATATTTCATCTTTAGTATTCCAATGGTCATTTCCCCACTTCCATCACTCGACTACACTCTTATTATCGCCATTATAGCATTTCATTGCCTATAAGCTTGTTGTAAGTCATTGTCATCGACAACTGCTGACTTCATCATTTGTTGTATCTAATAATGTCAATGCAAAAGATCATTTATAAAGCTTATGCACAATATTGACACTAATGCTGAAGTTCAAAAACTTTATCACCCATTATCGTTTTAACAATATTGATGCATGTTGTTTTCTATATAGCTGATGTATGCTATCAATGATAATACCAGTACCTACTGCCTTTATATAATAACCAAATATGATTTTATATAAAAACATAAAAATTCTAGGTTGAGTGTTATGGCACTGTGCTGGCAAGCACAATGACCCTGAGAGCTCTATGACACTAAAAAATGCCACTGCATGCAATATTGAAGGATTGGTTTTATAATAACTTTGGGAGTGACATGCACCGCATCAATGCTAGGTCTTGGGCATCATGGTGTGTGGCACTTCAACAATGTAGAATCATATGTCTACTAAAAAATGATTGTTATTTAAATATTCTTATTTCTATTCATTTATATGCCACTTATTGCAAATATCTACTCTTAAATTGATTGTTCATATTTAGATATATTGAGTTATAGCTAGTGGATTGAACTATGATGTGTTACATATGTCTACTTTCTATTGTATTATAACTATTGGATTCTATTATGCTATGTTATAACTATGAGGTTGCATTCAATTTTATTTATAGTATAATATGTTGTGATACAGCTTTTATGATTATACTCTAATATATCAATCATATTTAAATTTTATTCGTATCATATTTGAAGTTTGTACAAACAAAACTCGAAGCTCATTTGATCCTTCTTCGAACCCTTATTGAACATTGAGACTTATAAAACATATCGATAACACTCTTTTATATGTCATTGTTTGATATATGGTAATTCTTTAAAATTACATCGTGGTAGACATTAGGTCTTCAATTAATGTTTCAACTATTTATACTTTTATTCAAACAGGATTCAAATTGTTCGTTGCTCGTAATAGAATTTAAATAAATAGCCTGCGATAAAAAAGAGCGAAATTTTGGTCCAAATAGATTTTTAGTCATGTTATTTTTTTAAGAAACTAAAGAGAGAATTTTGAAGTCATGAATTAATAAATTGTTCGTTTATATATATATGGTGGTTAGTCAGAATTTAGAAATCGGGACCCTAGATGAACGTCTGCCTAAGGGAGAAATTTTGATGTATCGCCTATGGGAATGCACGAGGGAATGTCCTATCTTCATCGTTGCTTCCGATCCAACTACAAAAAAGGTGTTTTCTTTGTCGTCGTCATCGTTGCTTCCGATCCAGTTAAAAAATGTCGTTTTCCTTGCCATCGTCGTCGTTGATTCTGCTGTCGTTGTTGAAGGAGACGAAGAACGGCGGGAGAAGAGGAAAAGCAAACCCTAGTAATCGGGTTTGTGCGAGACTGCAGGGAAATTATCGTCGTCGCTTCCGATACAATTGCAAATGAATGACACGAGTGCAGGCGAAGTGATGAACTGTAGAGGAATTAGGTCTGGGCAGGAAATCGGGTCAGATCTGGGTCATTTCGGGTTGGCAGATTGACCTAGACCTACCCGATTTTTTAAACGGGTCGATTTTTTTAGCATGAGCTTGACCTGCTTGCCTCTAACCCGAAATTTTCAAATCTAATTCGTGTCGAATTTTCTGATCTTGTCAAATATTGACCCCCAATTTTATTTTATCTTACTACTCTATTAAAACATGATTACTACTTTATTAAACCATGAATTTATACTTTTATAATATATATACCACAAAAATATTGCAATTTGTCCCACTGGTCCCACTACGGGCATCGCGTGTAAAAAAATGCTGCGGGTAACGGGATTCTTCCTTGCCTCGAATTGCTTTGAAGACAGAAGACCTCCATTCAGGAAACTGAGAGATGAAGGAGATGGTTGTGGGATCCGAGATTGCCAGGCGAGAGGCGCCGTCACCGCCGCCGCAAGCCCTAGTGGAGAGGCTCAAGGACTACGGCCAGGAAGACGTCTTTTGCCTCTGGGACGAGCTCTCCCATGAGGAGCGCGATCAGCTCGTTAGAGACATCGAGGTGGTCATCCCAACTCGTTATCATTAGATCTGTAGATTTAGTCATTGTTCCAATGTGAAGAAAAATGATTGTTTTTTTTACAATTAACAAATCGTGTGGAATGCGATCCGGTCTGCGTCGCAGATTGCGAATTTATTTGCACGATTCATCTTCTCTTCCTTGATCCAACAGATGTCGCATTTCCATTGGCGACCGAACGGAGAGATGGCTTCGGTCACCTGACCCAATAATTTGCCGTTGCTTAGGCACTTACGTTTTGGTTTCTTTGGAGTGAGAATATCGATCCTTCACTTTCTACGTAATTTCAAATAACGAAAAAAGTTGAATTTCATTCTGTCCACTTCCCAATGAATATAGAAAGTAGATTCTATTAATCTTTACAATCTGTTTGATTTCAGGGCTTAGATCTTCCAAGGGTTGACCGGATAATCCGATGTTCTCTTGGATCTCAAGGTAAACCTTACAGAAACACCAATAAACTTGAATTAGTAAATTTCAATTATAGTTGATGTTTGAATCACTCACTATTCTTTTCACCTCTGGATCTTTTTCATTTAGTAAAGGTCCTCCGCAGCCTGGCATTGAGCCTGTGCCAGAGTCCTGTGTCTCAACTGTGGAAGAAAGAACTCTTTCCGAAAGAGAGAGGTGGTGGAAGAGGGGATTGAAGGCCATCTCGGAAGGGAAGTTAGCAGTTGTGCTTCTATCTGGCGGGCAGGCAAGCAAGTATTCCTTTTTTTTACTGTTCATATTTGTATACTCTTGTCTCCAACTGGAATAGTCTCCATGCCTATTTATATTTGTTAATACTTTGATACTAGTTTCTATGTATCATATTAATACTCAAATATATCAATTTTTGTTTCAGCTTTTGTTTTCTTGGAGGAGAACCAACTTGTCAATGAGTAATCTTAATAGAGAAATAATTAAAAGAATTTAATTTCAATTGCTTGAACTAGGTGAATCCTAATTCGGCGGCATCAGAGAGAATTAAAAGCTCAGACATTTATTTAGCTCTAGTTTCTAAACATCTTAATTTAACAGTCTGCCAAACTTTTAGAAGTTTAAATATTGCGCTGTCTGAAACATACATGTCTTAAACTCAACTTTTTATGTGCTTTTTGTTCAATATGTTCACCATGCCATGCATAAAAATAGCTTATTATCTTATTTTAATCTTCAATCTTTCTTTTAGGTCGTTTCCTATTTTAGATGTTTTAATTGTGTAGCTTAGATTACTTCTCTGTGTAAATGGGATGATTATATGTTCACTACTTTTTTTTCCTTCTTGAAATCTGATGCAGGGAACTCGTCTTGGAAGTTCAGATCCCAAGGGTTGTTTTAGTAAGTTATTAGCCAACTTGAGGAGCTCATTTTTCTAACTAAATCTTCTTTGATTTATGATATCATCATTGCTATTAATTTCTACTTAAGTACCATTTCTTTATGAACTGTACATTTGTTTTTAATTTTCCTTTGAATAGTTTATAACCATGCTACTTTTTATCCATCCCTTTTCATGAGTAGCCTTTTTCATAGTACAAGCACTCCACCATCTGGGTTTAGTCTCCTCTTCATGAACATGCTGAAATCAAAAGAATATTCAGAAAAAGAAATTCTTTAAACGGTAAGCAAGCATGAAAATGTATATGCCATTTATGCCAAAAATAAATGGATTGATGATTATCAAGCATTATTGCCTATATTAAACTTAGGTATATCCCTTATTAAAAAATACTTCTACTCATTGTTGTAGTCCTCAACGAGCTATTGATGGACATCTATTGGAGGCCATTGGTGGGTCCTAGACATGTCAGTTGGCCAAGGTCTTATTAGATTGAGATTGGTAACAGATTGATGCTATTCCTACTTTCAATTTAAGATTGGATGGCATTCCAAGACTGATTGGGTACCTGAAGAGGTATCGGTGGCATCTTAATTCTTTCTTTTCAAGATGGTGGATCCTTGTTGGATAGTGCCAATGGGCAATGATGATCGATGATGCTTGACAGCAACTTAGATCATGAAGTTTCTGCGAGAGAGAGAGAGAGAGAGTCAAGTCAGTTTCCTTTCTTACATGTTGATTGCCTGTAGCTATGATTAGCAACCAATGAGACAAAGATGGAGGAGGACATAAATAGCGAGAAAGGGAATGGGAGGCGGCAGAATCCACTGAGCAGAAATGGTGTTAGCAGAAGGCAAGAGATGGAGGAGATCTGAAGGCGGGAAGATGACAGCAGGGAGTATTTGTGGTGTTGGCAGAGTGTTGGAGAGGAAGGATGTAAAGGAGATCGAGATAAAGGAGTGTATCTACTGATGCTACGGGTTTTGGCAAGCATTAGGAATGGTTTGGAGGGATGGAGCACTTTAGATTGGAAGTTTTCTGCTAATGGTGAGATGCTTGTCCCAATTAGTTGGGAAGAGAGCGCAAGTAGTAGAAGAGGATTAAAACTGGGTAGGATTTAAATAGCTCTCATGTAATTTCAACATCATCCTATCATTGATTATTTCAACGGCTAAAATCATGCATTTTATGTTTATGTCAAATTGCGTCACAAATATATCAGGTTGGCCTTGATATGGCTCCTATCTATTTATGGTTAATAGGTGATTCAAGGACCAACTTTGAGTTATCCATGATTTGACTCCATCTGTTAATATTATTGAATGATGTGAAACAGGTTGGGTGTTGCATATTAGTTGTGGGGCTAATTTGGTCAGATTTTAGGTCGGGGCCTGAGCTACTTACATGGCTTGAGGGGCATGCATATAAAATTAGAGTGGCTCCAGTCCAAGCTATGATCCTCTATTGGCATCAACCAAATATTCAAAGAAGGGCACGGATGGTTCTCTCTTAGTAGGCATCTTCTATAAAGAACCAAAAAAAAATTTAATCATCACAATCATTATGTAGGACTTATACCCTATCTTTTGGTAACCCACTTCCCTTCTTAGATCTTTCACATTAATTTTATTTATCATCTTATCAGTGAATCTTCTACCTACTTTTTTCTACCTTAGTTGAACATGAAAGCAGTTGTCTACAAATCATTATTTCTTTGGATTTCTAAATGAAGGCTTTAGGACATAGTTTTAACAATGATAGAAAATCTTGGATTTTAAATGATAGCTGAAGAAAAAATGATTATTTAATCAACCAAAATTAACTAATTTTTCCTCAGATCTTGTATGTATATTTGTTATCCTATCATTGAGGTGAATAGAATTTCTAGAAGGAAATTATTTTAAATGTTTTCTTATCATAGTTACTTTGGTAACAAATTTTAAATCATGGACATGTTAGTAGAGAGGTGAAATATTTTAAAAGCATTCATGATTTTTTTTTTTAAAAGCATTCATGATGGCTATGAGTTTGAAGTGACTAATGAAAGTGGTAGGATCATATTAGATTTTTCTCTAGCTTGTGATTTTGTAATTGTTAATTCCTTATTTAAAAAAAAGTGAGGAGCATTTCATAATTTATAAGAATGGATATAGTAAAACTCAAATTGATTATTTTTTTATAAGAAAAATAGATCATTTAGCTTGCAAAGATTGTAAAGTTATTATGAGTGAAATTTTATGTATCCATCACTTATTAGTTTTGAGCTTTAAGATGAAAGGGTGGAATATGAAAAATAAAATAAAATTTTATCATAGAATTAAATGAGGGAGAGGGGGGCATTTAAAGATCATTAACAAAATTATTTGTTAGTGTAAGATTAAAGATTTTAAGATTTTAATTGTATAATCTAATATTATGTGGGAAAAAATAACTAGTGATATTAAAAATGTTGCAAGAGATGTGTATGAAGTATCAAAAGAAAAAGTTCCTTGTCTTAACGCGACCCAAAGGCTCAAATTAACGAGGCAGGAAGAGAAGGTTGGATGGTTGACTAAAATTTCAATTACTAACTGTTAGAATTCATAGAATTTGAGAAGGGTAAAAATACCTTCTGCTTATTATTCAAAATTATCCTTATTTATAGATCTATACAAGATGTCTTAATAAAGAAATAAATAACTTCTAATTGATACATAATTGCCTCAATATAATCCTTTCTAATTCAACTACTTAAATATAGAAGGATATTGGCGTGATCCAGCCATCCAGGTGAGCCTCCGACGGATTCTCATCCTGACTGTGGGTTCAAATGCCAAGGGATGACTGAAATTTTGACACTCCCCCTCAAACTGGAGACCAGCTTGCAATTACTTGCTCAGAGGTAGAGCTGCATTGGTTATTGATAGGATATCAATCACCAGAGAAAGCCGATAATGAAGGCCGATGATGGAATGTTATCCTCAAAATTCCGACAATTAAGGCCGGTTGTGGGAACTTGTATTCCTCAGAATTCCAGCAATGAAGGTCGGTGATGGGAACATCCTCAAAATTCCGGCAATGAAGGCCGGTGGTAGAAATTTTGTATTCCGCAGGTTTCCAGCAATGAAGGTTGTATTTATAGTAGCAATAAAGGTTGATTTGATCAACCATAAAGGCTGATTTGCTTGTATCAGCAATAAAGACTGATTTGATCATCAATAAAGGCTGATTTGCTTGTATCAGCAATAAGGGCTGATATTAGATCTTAAATCTAATTTAAGGCTTTTTTTTTTCTTAAATCGAACCAGCTGAGCCTTAAAAAAAAGGCTCCGATTGGAGTAAGGCAAGGGTTGCGGTTCCACCCCTCAATTCACATGCGGGCTTGGCTTCCTCCCGCGAGTCGCAGGCGTAGATCGTCTAGGATGTGCGATCGGAAGGGGGGATCGAGCCGACCTCGTCTGGGATGTGCGATCGGAATGGGGGATCGAGCGGGCTGCTTCGCTCCTTCGTCGACTTTCCCTTTCTGTCGGATCGGTACGCTCTTTCGGCTCTTATGTGGCTGTTCGACTAAGCTCCTTCGTCTCGGATTGGAAGTTCCGATCGGAAGTTCCGATCGAGTCGCTCGTCTCGTAGGTTCCGTCGGGTATTTGGCTTCGTCGGCACAGCTTCGTCCTTTTGAAAGCTTCGTCTTCGCGAGGCTTCGATCGTCCCGCACGGCTTCGTCCGTCCGCGAGGCTTGAGCTTCTCCGCAGAAGATCGAGACTTCCGGCTTCAGCCTCAGGCTTCGGGGTTTAATGTTTGCGGAGCGGTCGGTCCGTTCGATCTCGTCCCGAATCAAAACCTGAGGGCAGGCCTCATTCGTCCGCAACAGTAGGCAGCTTCGGGCGGTGTCTGGTTGTTCGACTCTGTCTGCTTGCATTCGTCCGAGTCGGAGCAGCATCCGCAGTGTTTGGTAGCTCCGATTTATTCCTCTTCTTCTTTTCCTCCAACGATTCTAGGATCATTCTTCAATCGGCAATGAAGGCCGTTGGCTCTGATACCATGTTAGAATTCATAGAATTTGAGAAGGGTAAAAATACCTTCTGCTTATTATTCAAAATTATCCTTATTTATAGATCTATACAAGATGTCTTAATAAAGAAATAAATAACTTCTAATTGATACATAATTGCCTCAATATAATCCTTCCTAATTTAGCTACTTAAATATAGAAGGATATTGGCGTGAACCAGGTGAGCCTCCCACGGATTCTCATCCTGACTGTGGGTTCAAATGCCAAGGGATGACTGAGATTTTGACACTAACTGACTATTTCCAATACACAGGAAGAGCCACTAAAACCTCAAGATTGTAAAATAAAAAATAATATAAATACTTTTACATAGGAAGAACCACTAAAACCTCAAGATTTTAAAATAAAAACTAATATAAATATTTTTTTCTTTGAGTATTGCGCTTATGATACACATTTTCTTCTCTTCTACTCATTTTGAAGCTTTTGAATAATACTTGAATTCATTTATAAAATAAGAGTGAGTCAAAATAACTCAGTGAATACATCATGTTTCTAAATTACAATAAAACAAGACATTGAAAAAAATATGCATGTTCTTTTCCAAACATAAAATAATTTTATTTTGATTTCATTTTATCATAAGCATCAATATTATGCATATAACATATCTTTATCTTTTTTGTAAACAATACAATCATCACAGTAGCTATCATGTAAAATAGTATCAATGAAGGTACTCCTTTTTCATTTTATTTTTCTTTTTCCATAACCTTTTTCATTTATGTGCACATATATATTACATCCCCAACCAGTACCATAAGGGAGTATGTTCCATTAGTCAACATGACATGCAAGCATATATATCTAGCCATTTAATTAGTATAGCATTCATTTACTTTTTATGAAAAATATGAATGACAAAATTTTAATAATTATCATCCATTCTAATATGAACAATCATTGAATGTGAGAAATAAAAAACATGAATTAACTTGTGACAATAGGTAAATAACTATGAATAATCTCCTTCCATGCATTTAATTTAAGAGAAAAAAATTATTACTGTAATTAAAATGACATGAGTACTCATCTTGATTTAAATAGCTTTTGCTCTTTTTGTCCCTGTTTTTGACTTTAATAAAATGACAACTATAATAATACATGATTTCATATGGTTATTTTAACATATATATCTAATCATACCTCTCTATAATTAGTTATTAAATATATTTAATAATTCTTTTTTTAATTAATATAATTTTTTTCTCTCTACTTTATTATTTAAATATATAAAATTATAATTTAATTAATTTGCTCGGTCTCCCCTGCATGCCTTTCTCACTCGATCTCCCCAAAACATGACTCTTCTTCTCTCTCTCAGTCATTCACTTGTCCGCCGTTCAAACCTTCTCGGTCTCACTCTTTCCTCTCTTCTCTAATTTATAGAGATGAAAACATCGCTAAACGAGGGAATTGACCCTAACCCTTCGGCTTCCACGACACCAAAAGATGGGAGTGAGCTCTTCATCTTCTGCTTCACGTGATCTAGACCTTGTATATATATGTGTGTGTGTATTTGATTTGGCTTATGTTAAGAAAGGCAGATTTAGGCCTAAAATGACTTGGTTAGAAAATATTAGAAATGGCCTTTTTTTCCTTATAATTAAATGAGAAATTGACTCTTAACAGGACATAATGGACAAAAAGAATTCATATAGCCAACTCCACATAGTGGGATAAAGGCTTCATATTGTTGTTGTTGTATCCATTTGCTAGAGGAATAACTTTTTTAAACATTAAAAGATGAACCTCTAAATCAGAAAATTGCTGAGACCGAAGATAGTCTTTTGGATTAGGTATATATACTTCAGCTTGATGAACAAAAAAAGTACTGTTAAATAAATAAACATGTACAGTGGTAACTGAGCTGTGATTGTATATAGGTATATGTGACTAACATGAACATATGCAGCTTTTCTAATTAAAAGATTAGAACTAAAATTTTCTTATCTTTTTACCCATTTTTTAAACACACCAAGATTTATTAAAATTTCATTGAAGTTCATTACTATTGTTATGCAAGGTAAAAGGATATTCTCTCTCTAATGCTCCACACATAAATGAGCAAATATATACATACAGATGAATCTATGCTTCTGCCTTCTGATTCGATTATGTGGTTTCTTGATGAAATTGAAAAGTAATTTGACACACTTAAATCAGAGCAGTTCATTAAGTGATTATTATATATTAGTTTATCTTTGCTCTAGATATTGGACTTCCGTCTGGGAAATCACTTTTCCAGCTGCAAGCTGAACGAATATTATGTGTCCAAAAACTTGCTGCTCAATCAGCGGATGGTAAGTTTTGTTGCACCGGAGCAATGCATGTTTATTGTGCAAGTTAACTGTCCTCTTTTCCTCAAAAATAGAAGAGCCTTTAGGCTTGTCTTATGGCTGCTCATTTGGCAGGTTCATCTAGTGTTATTCCAATTCATTGGTATATAATGACTAGCCCATTCACTGATGAGGCAACTCGCAAGTTCTTTGAAAGTCGCAAGTACTTTGGCTTAGATGTTGGCCAGGTAATATAGTTTAAACTCTTCATGCTTTTTATTTTTGTAAGCTTAATCTGCTGATACTTTTGTTTTGATGTAAGGTTACCTTCTTTCAACAAGGCACCCTTCCCTGCGTTTCCAGGGATGGTAGATTTATCATGGAGACAGCATGCAAGGTATGCATCGTTGCTTCCCTTACCCCTTTCTTGTTGTGATTTTTTAGGCTAGCAATTGCACAAAATTTAAGGTACTCTCCCGTCGGTCATCATGCAGTTGCCTTTTGTCCTTGCATGAGCTTAAACAATTAACTTGATTTTTGTGCTCTCCCAAGTTGGAGAAGTGTCTTGGTGATGAGCTACCTCTATTGATTTCTGAAGGGTATGCCTTTTCACATCATTCAACAAAAAATCTGATCATTAACAGATGCTTACATTTATAGTTTTGGTCATTTTGATTATAAATTTGCAAAAGAAAATTTCCTTTTCAAATCCTTTCTCTTCAGTGAGATTTACTTGCACACTGAGCAAATCTAAACTGGTGCATTATAATTAAATGCACCATCTCTGAATTTGACAAAGGCTGATCATCTATTCTTTGTTCTTGGGTGTTAGACCCTATGTATTTTCTGTAGGCAATCAGCAAAGTATTCAATTTCTACCTCTTTGCTGTTTTTGTTTTAATATAGAATTCTTATTTTGTATATTATGATATACACATGCAGGCTCACTTTAACACTTGTTTGTTATTTGATTCCGAAATAACATCTTTATCCACCTATGGTGCTTTCTGTACACATCAAAGTTGCTCTACAATAGTCTCCTGAATTTTTTTATTTGTTACCTTTTAGTTGATAGGTTTTTTTTTTTGTTTGTTCTTTTACCATCCATTGTTTAAAAATGTTATATACTTCCAATTTCCAATCTTTGCTTCGCAATTTGTTGTTTTTGTTCTCTCTAAAATTTCAAAATTTGTTCTTCAATTGCAAGGTGGCAAAGGCTCCGGATGGAAATGGTGGAATATATGCTGGTAGTGTGAGATATTTTCTGAAGAATGTCTGGACTTATTTTTTCCCCACTTCTGTGCATTTAGAATCTACCTGTTTTAATTCTCAATCTTGTTTTATACGGCAGCTTTAAAGTCTTCCAAACTCTTAGAAGATATGGCCATGAGGGGTGTGAGATACGTGGATTGCTATGGTGTTGATAATGCATTGGCAAGGATTTTCTGTCTTTTAACTCTACCAGTCAATTGCTTTTCTTGTCTAGCACACCCATAAAACTTTTGAAGACAGGTTCGTGTTGCAGATCCAACATTCTTGGGATACTTCATTGACAAAGGTGTAGCTACCGCAGCAAAAGTTGTACGCAAGGTGCATCAAAACCTGGAATTCTTTGCTAGCAGCAAAATACTTTTTAATATATTTCTCCAATTGAGTACATTCTGTTAATTAACGGATCCTTCAGGCACTTATTACAACTTTGTTAAAATATTTTTCTCTCGGGAAAGATGAAGGCTACAAATCTAAAATCCATTTAACGAAGAAAATCTAAATATGTTTTAAGCAAGCGCATCAAAAGGAAGCTGCATGAGAACTGTTAATATAGATGAAAATGAGCGCATACAGGCAGCTATTATTTGGTTCTTCTATAGCAGAAAGATCCTGTTAAAGAAACTTCTATGCCTATCCTTTACATTCATTAGAAAAACCTCTATTATAATAGAAGAAATAATACAACGACCCAAGGAACAATTAAGTAAAATCAATACCACTCTCCACTTATAGCTATCTTTCTTAAAGTAGTAGTAATATGTTATGCCTTTTTACTGACATTATATTGACACTTCCAATTTGGAGCATATATATCAATAAGCTCCAATTTATTATGTTGCTGAGAAGAAGATGGGTACTTGGTGCTTTGGTGAAAATATCTGTTTTTGATTTGTAATAGGTATATGAAAAGTTTCTATTTTCTTAGTCAGTATAATATGATGGATGAAGTGACAACCCATTTCAATGTTTTTGATCCTTCAATAAAATACTGGCTTGCTGACAATATAAATGGCTATGGAATTGCAACAATATAGAATCATTGGCTTGATTATTGTAAAATCAAACTCTTCTTAGAGTGGGTTTAGCCACATCATTTGACATGCATAATGAGCTATGTATTTGGCTACAATAGTTTGCTTCTTATTGTTTCAGGCGACCATATTACCTTCCACAAAAATGTAATATCCAAGAATTGATTTCTTGTCAACAAATCCAATATAGGCTTTATTAGATAATGCTTCAATTTTCAATTGTCAAGCCTGAGCATGGAGCAATCCTTTCATGGGAGCCTTTTTTTATGCATATGAGAATGATAATAATATCTTGTCAGTAGTTCTATTTTGGGGTTTACTCATGTTGACTTACAAACCCTTTAGCAAAAGAAATATTTGATTGCATAATTGTTAGATAAATTAAATTTCCAACCAATTTTCAGTGTTGGGAGGGATCATCATATTGTATATTATCTTTAGAAATGGTTTGGATCCTAGAAGATCATTTTCGTTGTGGAGATCAGTAGCATATTTTCTTTGAGAAAGAGTGGCCTCTTTCTTATTTTAGAAAATTCATACACAAGAAAGTATTTGGGTAGCCTTTGGTTTTTGGTTACAAAATATTTCTAGAAGTAGTGCACTTTTGATATGCCTTCTTGATCACTCTATCAAGCAATTTATCATCAACCTAAACGTGCAACGCAACTGAACCTATGTTGTTGTATGTCTAGCAAGATTAGCAAGATCAACGGTGCTACTGCAAATGCCAATTTTTACAATAACTTTATAAAATTATCAAAACAAGCTTCTGGATCATGCTTGAGCCCTAAATAGCCTTCTTAAATTAGCAAATGCATTTTCCCGTTCGCAATTTACCTAATTGGCTGCTCCATATGTATTGCCTCATCCAGATTACCATATAGAAAGGTGTTTCTAATATCCATTTGTAGCATGGGCTATCCTTGAGTGGCTACAAAGATAAGAATTTTTACTGAGTTGATATTGGCAAGTAGAGAGAAAGTATCGAAGTAATCCATTCTACAGCTGTTGTAAAGCCTTTGGCTATCTATTAAGCTTTATGTCGATCAATGGGGCTATTAGACAAACTTGGTCGTAAAAACCCATTCCCAAATGATCCCTTTAATCACAGAGTGATGTGGAATCAATTCCCATTTAAGTTAATTCATATGAACAATTCATTGAATTGTGAAGAAATCAAATAAAACAGTCGTGATACTCCTACTCGACAAATTACAATAAACTAAATAAATATGAATACTCCTTCCATGGCATTTAATTCAAGAGAAAAAAATTATATTTTTAATTTAAAATGACATGAGTAAGCTCATCTTGATTTAAATAACTTTACTTTTTTGTTCTTATTCTTGACCTTCAATAAAAGTGACAAACCTATTAATATACTTGAGTTTATGGTTATTTTAACATATATATCTAATCATATTCTCTCTAATTTGTTATTAAATTGATTTAATATATGTTTTTAATCAAATAGGAATTTTTCTCTCCATTTTATTATTTAATATAGAAAATTCATAATTTAATTAATTTTTTTAAAATAAAGGTTCCTATATTTTTATAAATTTCGCATTTTAGTTACTAATAAAATATATCATTTTTCTATATAAATTATTGTTAATTCTTAAAATATGTTATTATTTTTAAATCTCAATTTATATCATATTTTATTTATTACATTTCACATACTCTTCTTATAATAAATTCAACTTTAAAATAAATTATAATTATTTTTTATCAAAACTCCAATAATATTATATATACATATATTTTTTAAATATATTAAATTCCTTCTTAAAATATTAATTCTCTCAAATATAAATAAAAAACAAATCGTTAACTCTCGCTCAGTCTCTTCTGCTGCCTTGGCTCATTCAATTTCCACCAAAACATGACTCTTCTTCTTCTCTCTCTCTCTCTCTCGCTCCTCTCTCTCTCTCTCGTCTCTTCTCAGTCATTCCGCTTGTTTCCGCTTAAACCTCTCGGTTCTACTCTCCCTTCTCTTTCTAATTAGTAAAGAGCGAGCCAACTGACGTCGCTAAACGACGAATCGCACTAACCCTTCAGCTTCCACGACACCAAAGATGGGAGTGAGCTTCTTTCATCTTTTGCTTCACGTGATCTGACCACTCAGGCTTCTGCGACACCCGAACATCTTCTTCATCGTCCTCATCTCCCTTTGACTTCCTAAAGTCCTTCAGCTTCCAGGCGACTCAAAGTCACGCACTGCGGTTCGTATTTGACAGACAATCGCTTCGACTCCAATGTAATGAAATACGCTTCTCTTCAACTTACTTTACTCCTCTCTACATCATTTCACTTAAGTAAGGCTTATTATGTTCATGCTTTATACTCCACTTTACTAGGTGAAGCTTTTGCTTTTGTGATATCATTTTTTCAAGTACAATTTGGAATGTGACGCTCTTTTGATCTTCAGCGCAGGAGAATCTTCTAGAGTATACTGAATTATAATTAAACTTCTAATCAGTTCGTACTTAATGTACATAAGAATGGTTTGGTGGAGTATGGAATTCGAAAATGTATACTAATGGACAAGATAGTATACAATACAATGAAGTTTTGTATGTAGAACCTAGGTGGTCTAGTTAGTAGAAACTCGATAAAATTTAGAAAAAGATATAAAAGTGCATATAAGACGAGTCTAAAAAAGCTATATATATATATTATATATATATTATATATATATATATATATAGTATAGTATATATATATAAATATAATTACTATATATACTATTAATAAATAATGTTGTGTTGTGTGTGTGTGTGTGTGTGTGGTTTGTGTTTTTGATTGGCTTTGTTAAGAAAGGTAGATTGGCTTAAAAGACTGTTTCGAAAAATATTAGAAATGACCTTTATTATAATTAAATGAGGAATTGACTTCTTAACATGAACTAATGGAGAAAAGGATTATCATATAGCCGACCCCACATAGTGGGATAAAGGCTTATATTTGTTGTCGTATCCATTTGCTAGAGGGAATAACTTTTTTAAACATCTAAAAGATGATCCTCTAAATCAGAAAAATGCTGAGACTTGGATAGTACTTTTGGTCATGTATATATACTTAGCTTGATGACATAAAAAAGGACAGTAAACACAATAAACATTTACAGTGGTAACTGACTGTGATTGTATTGATAGTATATGTGACCTAACATGAACATATGCAGCTTTATGAATTAAAAGATAAGAACTAAATTTTCTTATCGCTTTTTACCCTTTTTTACACACCAAGATTATTAAAATTTCATTGAAGTTCAGTAATATTGTTATGCAAGTAGAAGGATATTCTCTCTCTAATGCATACACATAAAAAACACACATATATATGGAGCGAATATATACATACAGATGAATCTATGCTTCTGCCTTCTGAGTTCGATTATGTGGTTTCTTTGACAAACTTAAATCAGAAACACTTCCATTAAGTGGATTTCTTATATAGTCAGTTTATCTTTGCTCTAGATATTGGACTTCCATCTGGGAAATCACTTTTCAGCTGCAAGCTGAACGAATATTATGTGTCCACGAAAACTTGCTGCTCAATCAGCCGATGGTAAGTTTTGTTGCGCTGGAGGCAATGCATGTTTATTGTGCAAGTTTACTGTCTCTTTTCTCAAAAATAGAAGAGCCTGTAGGCTGTTAATGGCTGCTCATTTGGCAGTCATTCAGTGTTATTCCAATTCATTTGGTAATAATGACAGCCCATTCACTGATGAATGGCACAACTCGCAAGTTTCTTTGAAGTCGCCAAGTACTTTGGCTTGATGTTGGCGCAGGTAATATAGTTTAAACCTCTCATGCTTTTTATTTTTGTAAGCTTAATCTGCTCGATACTTTTGTTTTTGATGTGAAGGTTACCTTCTTTCACAAGGCTACCCTTCCTGGCGTTTCCAGGGATCGGTAGATTTATCATGGAGACAGATGCAAGGTATGCATCGTTGCTTCCCTTACCCTTTCTTGTTGTGAATTTTTTAGGCTAGCAAATTGCACAAAATTTAAGGTTATCTTCCCGTCGGTCATATGCAGTGCCTTTTGTCCTTGCATTGAGCTTAAACATTAACTTGTTTTGTCTCTCCAAGTGGAGAAGTGTCTTGTGTGAGCTATACCTCTATTGATTTCTTGAAGGGTTGCCTTTATCATCATTCAACAAAAAATCTGAATCCATTAACAGATGCTTACATTTATTAGTTTTGGTCATTTTGATTATAAATTTGCAAAAGAAATTTCCTTTTCAAATCCTTTCTCTTCAGTGAGATTTTACTTGCACACTGAGCAAATTCTAAACTGGTGCAATAATTAAATGCACCATCTCTGAAATTTGACAAAGCTGATCAATTATTCTTTGTTCTTGGTGTTTAGACCCTTGTATTTTCTGTGGCAATGCAGCAAAGTATCCAATTCTTACCTCTTTGCTTGTTTTTGTTTTAATATAGAAATTCTTATTTTGTATATTGTGATATACACATGCAGGCTCACTTAAAAGAGAAGCATAATACTAAGTTAAGTGTTGTAGAGATGAGGATGCTTAGGTGGATGAGTGGCTTTACCCTTAGAGATAGGATACGAAATGAGCATATATGAGATAAGGTTGGAGTATCTCAAGTGGAAGATAAGATTAGAGAGAGTCGCCTTAGATGGTTTGGTCACATTAAATGGAGGCCTTCCGATGGCCCGGTTAGGAAAGTTGAGGTATTGGATTTGACTTATGTTAAGAAAGGTAGAGGTAAACCTAAAAGACTTGGTTAGAAAATATTAGAAATGATCTTTCTTTATTAGATTTAAATGAGAAATTGACTTTTAACATGACACAATGGCGAAAATGGATTCATGTAGCCGACCCCACGTAGTGGGACAAAGGCTTGATGTTGTTGTTGTTGTTGTTGCTCATTTGCATCTATGTCACTAGATTCATGCACATTAAAATTATATGCAGTTCACAATTTGTACTACAAAGTAATCAACATCATTAGCGTTATCTAAACTATATGATATTTGCTTTTTTGAATACTCTTTTTTTTCATTTAATCCTGTGTAGCAGCAATCTAATAAAGATTAGTACAGGCATATCCACAGGAGAAGGTTGGTGTCTTTGTGCAGCGAGGAAGAGGTGGACCTCTTACTGTAGTTGAATATAGTGAATTAGATTCATCAATGGCTTCTGAAATCAACCAGAGCACTGGACGACTACGCTTTTGTTGGAGCAATGTAAATAAGTCTGCCTTTATTTGCCTTATTTAAAATTTTGACCGTTTGATCTGCTGAATTTAGCGTACAGTGGTGTGTTAACTTTCTTCATCTCGAGTAATAAATTCATATATGCTTGATAATTGTCTTGTACGCGTTTTGTAATTTATTGCCAACTGAGCTGCAGTGGAGTTGCTGCAACAGTATAAATCTTCTGCATGATTTAGTATGACTGTCATGTTTTGAGGATATCATTCTAATGCATGCAAAACATCTGTTGAATATGTGCGGACACATTTTTAAGGTATGATTCATTACTTCTGCAGTTAGGTCATGATGACATTGTTTTTTTTTTTTTTTGTGTTTCATACTTATTTTTGGTTAAGTGATGGTAGGTCCGGAGCAACTGTTATGTAGCCCCATTTTGATGTAGAAGACATTGTGAAATCTGGAAATAGTGAATATGTTTCTAGAATTTAGCTGCATGTAGCTATCCCTCCTTCGACACTGGCATCAAGTTGTTCGTTTTGCTATTTTTATGGATGAGTCAAGTATGCATTTATCACTTAATTTTGTAATATTTTCCAAAACTAATATTCAAAGGCCCTAGTTATATTCTTATAAACAACTTTTTCTCTCTAATAATTGATTTCATGCTCCTTTACACTGATTAGACTGAGTATATCTTTTATCCTAAATTTACTTATAGTTGTAGCTTTTGGCATCGTTATTGATGATGAGTAACCAAGTAAATCCTAGCATTACAAAAAAAAAGGTTCTCTTCCTATTTTAGTTCCTTTTCAAGCTTCTGAAAAAGTTTACTACACATCGATAATGGTTCAATACCAATGTTAAAGTCTAAACATTTAGAATTTCTCCATCAAATTCTATCAATCATAATTCATTCTGTTTTCTTTTTCCTGAAAAAAAATGCTTTCAATGATAAAAGTTTGTTTTTTGCTATATTTTTAACTGAGAAGTGGCTCAGAATATGATGTATAATTCTTTCAGGTATGCTTGCACATGTTTACTCTTGATTTCCTAAATCAAGTGGCACATGCTCTTGAAAAAGATAGCATGTAAGTTATCTTCTTTGCTTGAATATCTTCTTATGATTTCAACTTTCAAATGGAATGTTATGGACTGATTCTATGTTTATGATTGCATCCTATTCTTTTGCATGCATCTTTACAGTTTGATGTATTTGGCAATGCACTAAAATTTCACCCTTGTTATTAAAATTGATTTCATAAGGCTTTTGATGCATGATGTCTTTGGGTCTAGGATTTATTGGTGTAAACAGAGGATGAGATGCAAAATAATGCACACCACCACCACCAACAATAAAATCATACACTTTTATCCCATTAGGTGGAGTTAGCTACATGAATTATTTCGCCAAAGATCAAAATTTAGTCTACCAATTCTTAGGCAAAACTATGTCATTTTTTATTAAAAAAAAACATTAAACTCTTGCTAAACAATAAATTAAAAATTGTGAAAAATCTAAAATTCACAGGAAATCTTAGAACAAAAAAAAAAAGAAGTGCAATGATTAGTGCTCGCACCGCAAAAAGAAAAATCATATTATAGCATACTTATCAAATTTCAATCATGCAAAACAACAACTTAGCCTCACATAGGTATAAGGAGAAAGCTTCCCTTTGTAGTTTTTGTCAAGATTTACGTCATACTAGAAGAATTCACATCTAATAAAGCATTCAAGTTAGGTGAAAATTGATTTTTATTAAGACATAGATAGATTTTTGCATTCATAGAGACCTTTTTTTTTTATTGCCACATCCCTCAAGACATGATCAACCTAAACTACCTGACTTTATATGCTTGACCACCTAGACCTTACTCATTTAGGACAATGGCTTATTGATGGGTTTGACTTGTCGACTACGAGGAACTTAGCATTCAAGGGTCATCCCCCTTGAGTTGATGCTTAGACCTATCATCCAAGAGTTGGTGCTCAAACTTGGTGCCAACTCATCGGAGTCTTCTCGCATTATCCCCTTTGCCACAACCATTAATCAAAAGGCATCCAAAAAGAAAATTTACTCAAAATATTTTAAATGAATAAATTAATTCATTCTAAACTATAAGCATTCAATACAAGCTTGACATTGATGCCCCAATAGTAGGACCGCAATTAGGGTCCCCCGAGGTAACTTATCATTGATGCCCTATATACATATGTATGTATGTATGTTGTCTACATATTATATTGAACAAATTGTTTTCTATTTTGTTATAACTAAAAATTGGATTTTGTAAAATCATTTGACTATATTATTTATTTATTTTAACAATTTGCCCTAATTCAACATCTTCGACCAAAATATCGTGATTGAATCTTAGGTCATTTTTTAATAATTTTTTATTTGTCATTAATCTTCTTAATGATGCCTTTTGACTTGGTAAATGATTTTATGAATCCTAACAATCTTCCATTCTTATGAAAATTTTATCCTTAGAATTTAGAATGTGTAGTGATATAAATCATACCTCAAGTGAAAAGGCTTTCTTTTCTCAAATTGCCTCTTGCTTTGCTATGTGCTTGCATGGAACTACAACTTAAAGAATGCCTCAGCTTCAAAGTTGTTTCACATCGTAGGCTAATGTTTGTTTTGAATTTTTCTGCATAAATAGGATCAAACTAGATATCTATAGAATCTTTAATAACTTTGTTTGACTATGTTAGACTGGGCATTAGGCCGGTCCAGAGTGTTCCAGCCCGGGTCTACATGAGGCGAAACAAGGTTCCCCCCTTGCATTTGTCGCCCAAAATGTTGGGCCAAGAAACACTATCTAGGAAGGAAATTAGAGGGATTTAGAGGAAAATTTAAAAGTAAAGGTTGTTTAGGGACTTCCTTTTGATTTGTATGCTTTAAGGAGTATGTTTTTATAGGTTTAGGTCATCTTGAATTTGGCTGAAATTTGACATCTTTTAGAGTTTTTTAGGCTCTAGTCGCTGGCTAGAGATTGGGGGAGCTGGATCTTCCTCTCGGATTGGAGATCCATTGTATCTTGCTTGAGTTTGTTCTTCTTTCATCATATATAGTTATTGTGTTTGTGATTTCTCTATCTCTTCCTCAAAATCTGCTTGCAAGGGGGTTGTTTTTCCTAAATTTAGTAGGGAATTTCTTGTTATGTCATAACAAATTAGTATCAAAGCTCTTCAATCTAGGCCCTTCGATCACATGATATGGTTTTTTTTTTCAAAGACACCTCGGTTGTGGGCCAAGTGACTAGCATGGGTAGAGTACTGGAACAACACGTCATATCACTTAGGTTCTCAAATGACCCCTTTCAAAGTGTTGTACAGAAGAGACCCCCCACACTTGGTATATTTTGGGCAGGGGAGTATAGCAGTCTCTTTAGTAGAGCAGTACTTGGAGGAAAGAGATAAGGTGTTAGAGGAATTGAAGAGGAAGATGTTGCAGGCAAAATATATCATGAAGAAGCAGGCTGATGGACACATGAAAGACATCCAGTTCACAGTTGAGGATAACTTTTTTTTCAAACTGTGACCCTAGAGACAGAGGACAGTGGCTAACAGGAGGAACGAGAAGCTGGCATCGAGGTACTTTGGCTCTTACAAGATATTTTAGAAGATTGGAGTAGTGGCTTATCGCTTAAGGTTAACCCCAACCGCTACCATACATTCAGTGTTCTATGTGTCACAGTTGAGGAGAGTTTTGGGGGAGCATGCAGCTAGTGCAAAGTTACTAGCAAAACTGACTGAGGATTCGGAGGTGATGTTGGAGTCATTGTAGCTTAAAGGGATAAGTGATGAGGGCATCAGATTTCGACATGTGTACCATCGCCGGGGACGACGATCGACGGCCCTGATTCAGAGCCTTTATCTATGATGCTTTAGTTCTTTTCTTTTATTAGTTATTTCATGTTTCCGTTTGTACCCCTATGAGGGAGCCCTAGGAGTGATCTCCTCCATCGTGTGGTTCTTCTTCTCCCAACAAGTCTAGGGGTAGGTAAATGAGAGCGGCCTCAAGGTGAGACAATCGCTTTGTTAACCTTGGGATTTTTTTGTTGTTCGTTTCATTTGCTTTACGTTTATGAAAGTTGTTATTTTTCTCTACCTTGCTAATTTAGGTGTAAGTGCTTGCCTAGTCGTAGTTAACAATTGAGATTTCCGAAAAGCTTGAATTGGGAAAGATTTAACTTGCAATTATCATGCTTGGATAATCTTTTGTTAAGTTCTAAATACAAATCCTGGATTTACATCATATTACATCAATAAGACTTGGAGAAGGGATGATTAAGGAAGTGCTGATAAAATAGAAGAACCTACCTGACTACGACGCCACTTGGGAACCATACGAGAGGGTGAAGTTTCAGTTTTCATCATTCCACCTTGAGGACAAGATAGGTCTTTGGGAGGGAGGTATTGTTAGACCGGGCATTAGGCCAGACATTGTGGACCGGCTCGGGTCTATATGAGGCGGAACAAGGTTCCACCTCCTGCATCTGCTGTCTAAAATGTGGGGCCAAGCAACGCTATCTAGGAAGGAAATTGGAGGGATTTAGAGGGAAAATTTGAAAGTAGGGGCTGTTTAGGGATTTCCTTTTTGTTTGTATGGTTTAAGGAGTATATTTTCTTAGGGTTAGGGCATCTTGAATTTGGCTGAAATTTGAGATCTTTTGGAGTTTGCTAGGCTCTTGTCGTTGGCTAGAGATTGGGAGAGCCAGATCTTTCTTTCAGATTGGAGGCCCATTCTATCTTTCTTGAGTTTGTTCTTCTTTCATCAAATATAGTTGTTGTGTTTGTGATTTCTCTCTCTTCCTCAAAATCTGCTTGCAAGGGAGCTGTTTTTCCTAAATTCAACAGGGAATTTCTTGGTATTTCATATTAGACTCATTCACTTCGTACTTCCGTATATACCATACATGTGCCTTGATAAGGATGATCTATAAATAACCTTTATAATTATTTCAATAATCTTATAAGGACCTATATATTTTGGTAGTGAAATGAAGGTGCCAAAAAAGAATATGAAGTTTGTAGATGACTTAACTCTGCCATGAACTGTATAGTATTGTTGATAACGCTTTCTAAGGATGAATTTATCAATTCAAGTTGCATCGCAATAGTGGATACGTTACATAAAGATTGAATCCTTATTGGATTGATATTATTTTGGGGCCAGTTGTGATACTGTTTCTTGCTTGAGACTATAAATTCAAGTCACAATGCTGAAGTGTAAGAGTTGAGTGACAATCAATTCCTCCTTGGATTGATCCTAATTTTTGTGGGTCGTTGTATGACTCTGTTTAGAGAGAAGTTCAATGAGGGAATTTGAATATCTTGATTAAGTATTATAATTTCTTGATTCAGCATCATTTGTCCATTATATTGTGAGACATTGGAAGAAAAATGGTTCATTTGAGATCCATTTACTTCAATCACTTTTAAACTTCAACATGGGCATCCATTTAGGGCTATAGTTTAGAAGGGATCCCAAATTGATATTGTGGTATTAGGTTGTTGAATTGAATTATAGAGTGAAATTTTATATACTACTTTTTGTTGAAGGGATTTCTTTGATTTCTCTCCAATTATTTTTGAGGGTTGAAATATTTTTGAAAATAATGTGGCCTAGTTGACTGCATCGATGGTGCATACTAGGGCAATAGGGCAGATGGTGTTGCCAATTGAAAGGTTTTTAAAGTTATTTTCTGAAAGTTGCAAAAGCGATGCAAGCGTTGAAACCAATTTAGGCAAACGAAGCTATTAGGAAGTGTAGGGAATTACATAGCCCTATGTGGAAGATTGGGCGATGTGGCCAACTTACATGACGAAATTATATGACTACTATTATTTTCCTTTGCTAATGGTTTGGATTCTTTGGAAGGATGGAGCTTATTATATTTTTTTTGAGATCTTTAAAGTCCAATGTAGTTATGTCATCATTTCCATTGGGAAGGTGCTGCTCCTTCTTGGGGATGGGAAAGATTTGATCTTTTCCTAGAAAGCTTTGATAAAATGAAAAAAGTCCTATATTATCGAATGAGTAGGGTAATCTCTATATCTCTTTAATGTTGCTATCATCTTTAATTTGAAGTTGGTGTACTTTGATGACAAGTAACCTTTATTATCTCCAAAAGACATATTTGGATGCTCCCCCTTTCGAGGTGAGCCTTCCTAGTTTCCCCTTATTATTTGGCAGAATGTTAAAGATTTTTCTGATGTCTAAGCTTGTTGGAATGAGGAAGAGGGTTAAACCCTCGTGAATAGAATGGGCCACCTTCTTGGATTTGGACAAGGGATAGTACTTTCAAAGTGATGCATATCGACTAGTTTGGGTTGCGTCAATTAACTGCGGTGAGAAGGTTTCCCATGTATGGGGCCAAATAGTTGCATGTCTCAAATGGTCTTTGAGTGTTGAAAATTTTTTGATTTATGGGTTGTTTTGAGCTCAATATCTTATTTTGTACACAATAAACTAAATAAAGTTATGAAGATTAGTTTGGCGATTTTGTGTTGAGGGAAGACTCTTTGATGCTAAATTTATTGCTAAGTTTGAAGGTGAATTTAGTGTTGAAGCTAATAAATTGGAGTTTTCTTTTTGGGGTGGAGAGTGAAGGCTTAATTAAGATGCCTTCTCTCTATTAGGGGGAAAGTGATAGAGTCTTCCATCTTCTCTTGGAAAGTGGCATTTATAGAGGTGAGGGTGAATGATAGTTTAATACTTATGTAAGTATGGAGGATGATGAATGGTGGGCGGTGGATAGTGGATGGAGAAGACACTTCGCCTTTGGGAACTGTGCGGGATGTTGCCTCTTTTGGGTGAAGGATATTTTTCCCTCTAGTTGATTAGAGAATTGAAAAGTGAGACATATTTTATCTATGATCCATATTAGACCATTTTCCCCCTGGAGATGATAGACGGCCGGATGGAGCCTTAGGCTTTAATACCTATGTTGTTGGAGATTAAAATCTGCAAGCTGTAGGATGACTTAAATTGGCGTTGGGTGTGATTTAAATTGAACATTTGAATCCTGAGTGGCGCCTCAAAAAGTTTGTTCTATTTTATGGATTTGATGGAAGGGTCTTCAAGCATCTGGAAGCCACTAATGATCAAGATTTGTAAACTGCGTTCTAACTGCTGCTTGTTTTTTGATGATCTCCTTTAATCAAGTAAAAACTTGTTCTCATCGTAATGTCTGAGTGAGGAAAACCCATATATTCAAATTCAGTTATCTGCGCGTGCGGCCTGTTGATAAATGTTTCTATAAGCCTTTCAATGATTTTTCCAACTTTTATAAATATCTAACCGATATGTAATGATCTTTCTCCATGAATGCAGCTACCATATTGCAGAAAAGAAAATTCCCTCCATCCATGGATCCACCATGGGTGTAAAGCTTGAGCAGTTTATCTTTGATGCCTTTGCATATGCTCCTTCAATGGCACTCTTCGAGGTTTGTTCCTTCATATTAAAAAAAAAAAAAAAGAATTCAACTGATTATGCTATCAGATTATCAATCTGCTACTGACCAAGTAAAACAGGCATTGCGTGAGGAGGAATTTGCTCCTGTGAAGAATGCTAATGGCGCAAGCTATGACACTCCTGATAGCGCCAGATTAATGATTCTCCGCCTTCATAGTCGTTGGGTTGTCGCTGCAGGAGGATTTTTAACTCATTCGGTGCCTTTATATTTGACAGGTACTCCCTATCCTCTTCCATTATATCTATATTTTTTATTTTTTTTCATTTTTTCAGTACTCTTTATCATCTTGAATTCTTTGTTTGGGCCTCATTTTGAATATAACTGCTTTAAAAGCTGTGATGCAATGAGCTATGTCATAATCTTCTTTGTTTCATTTCATCACACTTTGAATTCTTTTATTTTTATGTACTGGTTAGGTATCACGCTATAAGAAAAATTATTAGTAGCACATCCCTTTCAATCAAAGATAAGCTAAGCCTTTAAGCAATCAAATTTAGTAGAAGAAATGTGAAAATGCATGGAATTTCAGTTTTCAATGTTGACTTCAAAGCTTATTTTTACATCAATGATGCACCGCTGTCAAATTTATTTTGCCACTTGTGGCTTCACTTCCATCATTATCAACTATTCAATATGCATCATATGAAGCTTCTAAGTTGTGACATTGAAGTTAAATCATTGAGACTGTAGATTTCTATGAATTGTTTGACTTCGCTTCTTTTCATTAATTACCTTGGCCGATTTAGATCATTAATTACCTTTTAAAGCCTTTTATTTAATTTTAATGGTTTAAATTTTTGTTAATCTCTACCTTCGTTTTTTTTTTCATTTTTAAGTTATATTTTAATGATGTTTTATTTTAAAATTAATAAAAATGCACAGAATCTTCTACCAACTATTGATTTGCCTGTTTCATAATGTTTTGCTAATAAATTTTTATTTGTAATAATAATATGAATGTTATTTTTTATGGTATATTATCTTAATTTAATAAAAGCTTTAGAAGAAATTATGGCCAATTTTTGCAAAGTAGTTGGATAAAGGTTAATCTTGTGCAACACCCCGGCTTTCACTTGACCGGGAAAACTCCTCTCTCTCTCTTTCTAACAAATAAGATTTTGTTTGAGATAACTTTCATATTGCTTTATAGAGCAACTTTTTAGTGTAAAAATTTTTAATTAAGAAAACTTCTATATTAAAAGCTGCTTCAAAAAGCAGTAAGAAAGTTGTCCCAAATGAAGTCTAATTCTTGTATTTTATGCAAGAAACCAGCTAATGATGATCATCTTCGTTCCAGGAGTTGAAATATCCCCTCTTAGTTCCTATGCTGGTGAGAACTTAGAATCCATATGCCGAGGAAGAACATTCCATGCACCAAGTGAAATCACATTCTAGTCGTCATATCAACACTTCGTTCCTGCATTTTCTCAGTTCTGCTTCTCCAAAAGATTCTTCAGCAAAAACAGTCGTACGTGGTATGTATAAACTTGGCTTTGTTCAATTTTCCCCTTTCCCTTACCATATAAATATTGTTGTTTGTAATCTCAGTGTTATACTCATTTTCTTTTCTTCTTCTTTGGCTTTTACATTAAAGCAAATTGCTATATATATATATAACTGTGTAGAATTAAATTTATATTTGTATGCGATATATTGTTGAGTGGCTTTTCTTTTAATTGCTTAGGGTGAAATAAGTGATTACAAACATTAATTATGATTATGTGTTTGAATAAAAATATTGATTAGTAAGAGTAATTTTTATGCTTGAAGGAAAGAAAGATATTGCTAAATTATATAAGTAATTAATATAAATATCTTATTTGTTATTATAAACATCAAATTGAGGGAATAAAGTAAGGGTTTAAGTGGGAAATCAAATCTTCTATAAGGTAGTGTTCTTATTGCTAAATTATAGTGATGATGGTATTCTTTTTAAACAAATACATCAACTGATTGATATTAGTTAACCAAAAGTTTTTCAAGTTTTTTATGATTATCTTTATTTTAAAAGTATTGTTCATATTGAAATGAATGATATATATATATATATATATAATCGTTTATCATATGTAATATTTATTATTAAAACATTAAATGATACGAAAAATTGTTATATTTGTATGCTGACTGATAGAGTTTGCTGTCTTATGTATTAGTTGGGGATATAAATTTACCCATACTTAAAATGATAATATGTTCATAAATTTACAACAACATTATTAATGTGGGGTTTGTTATATGAATATTTTTTCTCCATTGTGTATGTTAAGAGTTAAATTTTTATTTAAATTTAATAAAAAAATGTTATTTCTAATATTTTTTAACAAAGCCTTTTTAAGTCTACATCTACCTTTCTTAACTTAAGCCAAATCTAATACAACGACTTTTCCTAACCGGGTCATCGGAAAGTTGCCGTTTTATGTGATCAAATCATTTAAGTTGACTCTCTCTAATATTATCTTACATCAGAGCTATTCTAACATTTTCATGTATATGTTCATGTTATATCATCTGAACAATTATTACGTCCTCCGACCGAATGCGGAGAAACATCCGGTCGCAGCCAAAATCCAACTATGCCGAGGTGTACCGAGTTTTTTTCGAAAAACTCGGTACACCTCGGTACAGTAGGATTTTGCCTGCGACCGAATGTTTCTCTCATTCGGTCGACCGAACCAAATAAAACTTCCTTTCTAAAAGTAAAGTCACTCATGCAACTGAGCATCCTCATCTTTGCCACACGTAAAACTTAATATTATACTTCTCTTTTAATAATCAACATTATGCATCATAAAGCATTGTTGGTCTCACTACAATCTTATAGAATTTTTTTCTTCAATTTTATGATATAAAAAAGAAATAAGGAAGACAATATATCATATAGTTTTCTTCTTATTAAAATTATTATTATACTTAAAAACGCTTCAAATCCTTTTATATTATCATCTTCGAATAAATAAATAAAAATTGCTAAATATTTTTATATAAATTCATCTATTAGCTCGTAACTCATCTTTTTTTTAAAGCCCTTGCATTTAATCAATAATTTCATAATAATTTTTTGAAAATTAAATAATGAGAAAAGTTGATCATTATATCATAGACATAATACTAATGATAGTATTTAAGTTATTTGGGTCATTGATAAACAATAATAGTTTTATTGTATTTTTTTTTAAATGAACTTTATTCAGTTGTTGCTCTTTTGACAAATTGGATGATGAATTCACAAAAAGTTTATGAAAATTTTATTTAGATATTAATTTTAAAATTAATAAATATAATTTATTAATTTACAAACTAACTATATGTTTCAACTCTGATATTTCAAGCTTCAAATTATTAAATATTTCTTTTATTATGTTTCATTTGATGTATCAAAGTCAAATCCTTCCCTAGATTCAAGATTCTCCTATAGTGCTGCAGAGAGGAATCTTCAGAGGTTTGGAAGCTTCTAGAATTTCTTAGTCAATATTGCAGAATAAAAACAAGTGACCATACCTTCCCATCCTTCCATATATAAGAAAAAAAATAGGTTCTGACATTCTTAAATTCTCCATCCAATAAAATAAGATTTCATAATTTTTTAATCAGCAATTTAAGGTCTGATTTGGTTCATTGAACATTAAAAAAAAATCATAGTATTTTAATTGTGAGAATTTTTTTTTTTTTACAAGGCTGAAAGTGAGCTATTGATTATGAGGAATAATTTGGTAATGGTTAATATAAGATTAATTTGTATTTATTTATTTTTATTTAAAAATTAAATAAAACTTTTAAATCTTGATATAATATAACTATATAGCATTGACTTTGGCCTAATTATTTATTTATATTTATAAATTATTCATTTATTATTAATAAATAATTTGCTAAGAACTTGATAAATGCTTATATATTAGTGATTAAGGCTTAATTTGAGATGGCTTTTTTATTGCTTCTTAAAATAGTTTTAGTAAAAAATTAAATTTTTGTACTAAAAAATTGCTTTAAGAAACAGTAAGAAAATCGTTCCAAACGAAATAAAATTTTAAAATTATTGCAAAAATTAAAATTTTAAAATTATTGCAAAAATTGCTTTAATTGTGACAGTTGCAGCTTTTTGTAAAGTGGTTGTAATGTTGTTGTGAGGAAAGTAAAATTTTTTAAAGTTATTGTAAAAATCAGCTTTCTGGCATAAAAATTTGTTGAAACTTATTAGAAAATAGTAGTCAAATATAATTGTGATTGTGTTAAAAAGTAAAATAATAAGAAAGTTTTCCAAAACAGACTCTAATTAGTTGTATATTTGATGATTTAGGCTTCGTTTGGGACGACTTTATTACTGCTTCTTAAAGTAGCTTTCTCGTAAAAAAATTATTTTTTGTAATAAAAAGCTATTTTTAAGAAACTGTAAGAAAGTCGTCCCGAACGAAGATTCAATTTATGATATTATACCGACTTTTTAATATTTTATACACTTTAAAAGCTATTTTTACAAATAGAGGTATTAATATGATAAAAATAAGAGCAAGTTACTCGATTACCTAGATTAAAATATATTGTTTAATTTTTAAAAGTAATTTGTTATTGAAAATATTGATTATATACGTAGAATAATGGAGCGAAAATTAAAATACTTTTTATTCATAAAATGTTAGAAATAATTTTAAGTGAGTTATGATAATTTTGATAAAATAAATTTATCAAGGCATTCTAAGTTCATGATAATACAATTTGATTAAATATTACCATCCTACATATAATTAGGCTCAAATTATGAATTTATTTGTAATAGTTTTTTGACTGTTTTTTTATAAGAAAAATAGTTAATAAAATATAATGTGTGTATAAAATATAGCTTTTCACCATTTTTTAAAATTAAAAACATAAAATTTTTAACCGCCTCATATAAAACTTATATCTTTAATTTAGAAGAAAATAAATGATAATATTTAACATAATTTAGTTCATTTAAATTCCAATATTTGCATAATTAAAAATTAATATCAATGTTAGCTACATCATGATAATTTTTTTTTTTAAAATGTGTTTTATAATTTTAAGTAAACAAAGAAGCCCCAAGAGACGAACATAAGCACCTCAAAAATGCCAACGAAGGGCCTTATTGTACTCAAAATGCCGGTTAGGGCGCTTGAGTAAACACCAAATTTTATATTCCGGTTTTAACATTGCAGAGATTATTACGTGCGGTCACCTGACCGTCTGAAGGCCAATCAGAATAAGAACGGCACACAACATATTGGTGATGTGGCGCATATGCTTTGACTCCGGACGGCGTCCGATGACCGCATGTAATAATTTCACCTAACATTGACACTCCTAAGTTCAAATTGGTTATCAATCAGAGACTTTCAAATATGTTTCAAGTCGTCATTATGATTTGATTAATTTAATCTAAAGATTATAAATAAATGCATCTAAATCATATTATTCGAATAATGAAATCATTAAAATATGATTTTTAGAGAGTAGAAGAGATGTTTTAGGCAGTTCTTTTAGGAGAGAAATCAATTCAAGTAAGAAAAAAAAAAGAAGAATATTTAGGGCCTTAAGCAATTCAAAAGGGTAATAAAAAAATTAATTATAGAAATAAAAAAAGTTAGTATAAGTCAACAAATAAACAAATAGAAAATTTCCCTTAAAAAACTTAAAAAAAACCCTTATTTGGAGGCATGATGCAACTGGACCCCACTTCAGGTGAAGACAAAATTCTTTTTTGTAATTTTAATAAATATCTTATAGTCATTTATGAACTTAAATTTTCAAATAATAGACTGAGGTAAAAAAGATTGAGGTTTGGATGATAAATATATGAAAAAAAAAATTATCAGAATAAAATTCAAAAAGTTTAATTGTATTTTAAGATACATATAATATGTAAATAATTTATATTTTATTTATTTTAAAATTAATTAAAAAATTGTAAAATTTTGTCCCATTATTTTTTAATTAGCACCACTCATAAATTTATAGTTAATATGTACGTGACGATTTTTTTTTTCTATTTTAGCCCGTTTTTGGGAAAGATATTTTAGCCCTCTTTTGAGACCGTCTTTGCTTTGACCGGCCTCAGATCGTCATCACCGACGTCATCCAATGCGGAAACACGCCGGATTTGGGGTGCCTGGTGGGGTCCACTTTAGCCCATTCGTTGATCCCTCGTCAAGCGGTAGTTAAGCAGCTTCCCCTCAGACTTTTTTTTTTTTTCTTCAGCTTTTATTCCTCAGATTTGGATGATAAAATTACCATTTTTTTGGATGATAAAATTATCATTTTGAATCATCGGGTTGACCCATTTAATAAACGGGTTAAATTCTGATTGTATTTTTCAACTCGTTTATTAAGCCTACCAGGTTTGGGTCAACACTGGAACCTATTTTTAACCCGATAATTATCCATTTTAATATCTATTTTGGTTAACTTCTTTTATGTGGATAAACTTTTCTTATTTTTTTATCAAATATCTTAAAATTTATAATTAATAAGTTATGAATTTTTTCATATTATACAAATTCTTTTTAAGTAATATTGCTGGCTAGACTATACGCGGCGATAGAGTTAGAAAGTTTACGTCTCAGCGTTGTACGGATATCCAACACACAAACAGGAAATGAAATAACACCAGGATTTTTACGTGAAAAAC